TTTTTTTTTTTTTTTTTTTTTTTTTTTTTTTAATACAATATTCATCACTTAATGGAGCCATTTTCACTCTGTTTCGAAATTTATAGAGTTTGAAATATCGTTACGCATTTATGAGGAAATCTTCGGTTTCGAAATTTATTTGTACAGTCGTTAAAACTGTTATAACTTGTAAAATCATAACTGGTGAGGATGAAAATTGGAATAGAACGAGAGGAGAGAATATTTGTGGATGGATATTGAAAAAAAAAATGAAGAAACTCGATATGTGTGTGTATATAATTCAAAATTCTAGTAGTATTATTATTAAACAACTTTTTATCTCGATATCTCTAAACGAACAAAACGATATTTTTCATCGTAAATAGTATGATGCTCTAAACTACATCGATACGAGCTTATTTATTTACGTATTAAAAAGCTAAAGTTAGCCGAGCAAAGTAAACATATAGAGCGTAAATAGAAGTCACGCAGTGGAACAAGCCAGTATATGGTCAGACGAGTGAATTGGAAACCGTGTATCGAACAACTTTTATCCCATTTTATTTTAATTGCATAATTGTCGCGAGCTTGAACTTAAACAAAACTTAAATCTTATTCGCGGAAACGGAAGAGAGGTATTTTTTGCTCAATACTGAAAGGGAAGAAAATATAATTGACCGAAATAGAAATATATATATATATATATGATCAAGGAATCGGTGCTTTTCTCTGGTAAAAAGATTTCTCCTCCTATATTTCTTTCTTTCTATAAAATCTTCTATAAAATCAAGCGTTTCCTCCCAGATATGCTACAAGCATTTGGACACCTGATGCAGTTTAAAAAGTTTCTATCGGATCCTAACTTTTTTTCGATCGTATTGAAAATATTTCTCCAAAGAATTAATATCGAATAAAAGAAAATTACGTGTTGAAAATTTAATTCTAAAAGTTATAAATAATAATAATAATAATAATAATAACGATCTTTATATTATAAATTAACCGATAAATCTAATTCTTCGCGAATTAAAGAGAAAGATTGTTCTGGACAAAATCAAAATTTCTTCTTCTTCTTCTTCGCTATTTGTTTTCCCTATAACTTTTCAATAAAAGAATCGCCAACCACGCATCGATATTCTTTCTTCATTCCCTCTCTCGCTATTCATAAAATGGTTCCACGTCGTTTTTAGAGAAAACCTTGGACCACATTCTCCCTTCCCAGTGCATGGACATATTCGTACTCTGGTAGGAAAAAACTCGGCCAAAAATCCGTTCGATCTGATCTGTCCTATAAGAAAATCGTTCGTTTCCACGATGTCGAGTGGAATTCGATTTCGACATCTGGCTTTCGTCGCCGCGAAAGTATCGAGGGAGACTTCTCCACACGAGACTTCGTGTACACAACCTAGATTTTCTGTCATTCCCTTCCCCTGTCGCCCCTTTTCTTTTTTCCTCTCC